AAGCACTAATGGGAGTCATGTGCAGTTCACCTAAGTCTTCAGCCCTCCTAGTTCTTGTTACTTGAATTATTTGTGCCACAAAAATAAAGAGGCAGCAGGCAAGAACGACCTACAACCAGAATGATAGAAAATGGAATAAAAAAACATGTGAATTTGAAGGGAATGCTAAACACCTCTTGACTAGAAGAGAACCCATAGGTGCTTCAAAGCTCTTCAAGCACTTAATTAGAATTTTTTTTTTCATAGATACAAGCAACTCTTGATCAGATAACAGTTGCTTGGGGAATGCAATGGAGAGAACTAGTAGGCAGGAGTCACGTCCCCCCACCCTCATCCCCACACACCCTTTCCAATGAAGGCCTCTGGCCATGTGCATCATACACGGGAACATGAAATAAAATTTTATTTGCAAAAGGTGTCCTGTATGAATGAATAAACAAAATGTTTTATATCCATAAAAAAGAATATTACTGTGCCATAAAAAGGAATGGTGACACAAGCTACAACATGGATGAACCTTGAAAATATACTAAATTAAAGAAGCCAGACACAAGGTATGATACCACCTGAATCAATTAAATATTTGGAAAAGAAAAATTTAGAGCAGTGGTTCTCAACCTTCCTAATGCCGTGACCCTTTAATACAGGTCCTCATGTTGTGGTGACTCCCAACCATAAAATTATTTTCGTTGCTACTTCATAACTGTAATTTTGCTACTGTTATGAATCGTAATGTAAATATCTGATGTGCAGGATGTATTTTCATTGTTACAAATTGAACATAATTAAAGCATAGTGATTAATCACAAAAACAATATTTAATTATATATGTGTTTTCCGATGGTCTTAGGCGACCCCTGTGAAAGGGTCGTTCGACCCCCAAAGGAGTCGAGACCCACAGGTTGAGAACTGCTGCTCTAGAGAAACAGAAAGATTAGTGGTGATCTGGGGCTCAAGTTAGAAATGAGTAGTGACTACAAATGGGCACCAGGGATCTTTTTGGGGTGATAGAAATGTCCTAAAAATGGATTGTGGTTATGATTACACAACTCAATATTTGATTTTTTTTTAAATCAATGAAAAAAAAAATCAATGAATCAGTACCTTAAAACAGGTGAATTTTGCAGCATGTAAATTTTACCTTAACAAAGCTCTTACATTAAAAGATAAAAAATGTTTGGAAGAATCACTGTTCCCCAGGCCCCTCGTTTTGATACATTTACAGAATGAGACCTTGAAGTCAGAGAGCTACTTACTAGCACAGTTCAGACTGAAGGACCATAGGAAACTAAATGCTCCGGAGTTCAACTCCGATCTTATGTCACTCTATCTCACTTGGAAGTTTCTTAAGGTAAATGTAAATATTGAACTTAATTTGCATACACAAACAGGCCAAGATTCTCAGTGGCTCTAACAAAAACAAGGGGTAAACACCTTAATAAAAATGATGTTGATCTGTAACAGTCACAGGAAGCACATCATGACAGGGCACAGCCAGACCTGAAGATCCGACAGATCTGGAAGGCATGCTGGTTCCAAGTAAACCCAAGAACCTCGGGGCCCCCCTGCCCACGAGCTTCTTACACTGCATGTCTGAAAATCAGCGGAGCAGGGTGCACAGACAGCGCGGCAAAGCTCTGCGGTCACTGAAAGTCTGACACCAGAACCCTCTGGAGTATACCTAGCACTCGGGGACGTCCGGAGGCTGAGGGTCAGAGCCCGGCATATTGTTTCACTCTGTTAAAGCTTATTTCACATAAAGAAAATGAAATTGGGCCAGCTACCACACCGGGTAAACACGCAGAAAAGGCCGGGCAGGGACAACAGCCCTCTAAGTCCAGGCGGGGTCTGGCGAGCGGAGGGGGCTGCTCACTTCCTACCGCCGAGCACGCTGTGGAGCCGGTGCGTCTAAATGCCTGGCTTTACCGCACGCCCCAGGCCCGCGCCCCACAACCCGGGTCCGCTCCCCGCGGGTCCAGGGTCGCAGGGAGGCCCCAGCCACCGCCAGCGCAGACCCCCATCCTCGGGGCCTCGGGCGCGAGGAGCACCTCAGCACGCGCCGACAGCCGCGCAGATCGGGAGATGCGGTGACTCGGGGAGCGGGCCTCCTGACGTACCTGCTGCTGCCTCACACTCGGGTCCGGAGGGCCCAGGATGACGGCTCCTCCGCGGCGAACACACCTCGAGTCTCCATTCGGGGCTGTTTACTCCCAACTCTCGCGAGAATACGCCATGGGACGGGGAGACCGACGGCTGAGAACACCAGCCCCGCCGGCTGTGCGTACCCTGCGTGAGGCCTGCGTGCGCACTCCAGACGCCGAGGGCCGCAGGGTCTGGGCCGGAAGACGAACGACAGTCTCGCGACGTTTGCGGCCCTGGGGAAGGGGCGGGGCTGCAGGCCGTAGGTGTTGCTCTGCCCTAGTAGCGGCACCTGCCCTTGGATGCGCTGGGCTTTGGGGCCAGGACCTTAGGGAACAGGCACAGGCACGAAAGCAGCCATGCTGGCCCTTGTCCTGCGGACAACAAACCTGACGGATCGGGCCCCGTGGCCAGCATTTGCTATAAAGGCCTGAAGCTGTATCCAGCGCTCTCCTCCTGGGGCCTATAGGTGTCCGGGTCCAGAGCGAGGCCCGGGCGGCACCAACTCTGCAAACCCCCACCCGTTCACCGACATGGCAGCGGGCGGAGCAGTCACCCGTGAGTCAGTTACCTGTCTCCCTCCCACCCTGACAGGCGAAACCCCTGCCCCAAATCTTGTCTGCTCCACTCCTGGCTCCTTTCCGCCCTGCCTGGACCGATAATACCAAGTGTTACCCCCTTCAAAGAAACAAGTATCAAAAGTTTGCCTCCCCCCACAAAATGCGTGGGTGATTTCAATACTGGGGATCACAGGCTGTTTTCTGTAGAAATGCTGAAGTGGCCCACACTTGGCTTGGGCACAATTGGGGAACGGAAAACACACTTTAGGTAATGCCAATGAAAAATGATGTGCTATGTAGTCAGATAAACTGCTTATGTCTTGCTTGAACTTTCCACCAAAGCATGCTAATGCTGCATAGGACCAATATGACCAGAAATGTCACAGCACTTCATCTTCCCTTTAACAAACTGGTTTAATATAGGGGATACAGAATCACCTGCTAGCTTTGTGATCTTGGGCAAGTTGTACTTGTTCTTTATACCTCACCTTCCTACACCCCCCCAAAGATATTAATACCTACCTCATAGGAGGGTTAAATAAAACATACAAAGCTGGAGTCATAATATGTCCAGTAAACAGTGGTGGTTACATCTAAACCAATCCACACCTGGTGAAACAGTCCCCCCCTCCCCATTCCCCCGTTTTGAGATGCTCAAAGTTAAGCAGAACTCCCTGCTGCCATGATTAATGCACTTGATCTTAAATTTAACTGTTCTAATTTGGGGTAAATTGATTTTGGCCAGGGTTCTTTTAAGGGCCCTTTAAGTCACTGTACCATTGAATGCATAGCCCAAGTGTCAGGGGCTAAGGTAGGCTAGTGCATTGCAAACATCCTTGTCATGTGACAGTGAAGCCCCAAAACAGGGAAGTGAAGAATGCTGCCAGCTCCTTGGAACCCTGTAAACTGAAGGGGACTCGGACATGAGACAGATGGCTGAGAAATCCACCAAGAAAGGCGGAGAACCACAGCATCCTGGTCTCCCGGTTTTCCACCACTCCAGGTTCTAACGTCCTAAACCAGGGGTGGGCAAACTTTTTGACTCGAGGGCCACAATGGGTTCTTAAACTGGACCGGAGGGCCGGAACAAAAGCATGGATGGAGTGTTTGTGTGAACTAATATAAATTCAAAGTAAACATTACATAAAAGGGTACGGTCTTTTTTTTTTTTTTTTAGTTGTGGAGAACCACAGCATCCTGGTCTCCCGGTTTTCCACCACTCCAGGTTCTAACGTCCTAAACCCATGCTTCATGTGTGTAATAAAGCACTCGAAATTCCGTGGAAGGTAAATCTTTATTTAAACTAGATGTTATTTTAAAGAATAACAGCTTAGCCAATACTGAGACAGACACACGGTGAGACTGGTCTTTGTTTCGGAGGGCACGCAATGTCAAAGACAGAGGACACCACCTAAACCCTCTGGTTCCCAAATGTGACAAGATTTTAAGTAACTTGAGGTTAAAACAAAACAAAAACACTCCTCAGTAGAGCTGTCTCTCCTTGCTGTCTTCCTGTCCTCCCCACTCTTTCTTGAACTCACTACAATCTCCCTTTCATCCCCACCAATCGATCTCCATGTTGCCAAAGTCAATGATTAAAACCTTCATCTTACCTTATCAGAAGAATGAGATGAAGAAACCAACCTAATATTTTCAAAAGACATGCATATGTACAATTTCCTTGCCTAATTACCTGCTCTTATTGAGTTGCATCCATAAATTAAGTTTTTACAATTTTTAAGTAATTGTTTCTATGGGGGAAAAAAATGTATCCCTCATTCCAGACAATCCATTCACAAATATATGGAGCAAAACCTCTTCCAAAGGAAGAAGCAACCACTTTCATTGTTAAATTTTCAGTTCACAGATTGTTTCAAAGGTTATTTCCCCCATTCTTAGTAAGAAAATCCATCTAGGTCTGGCCAGTATGGCTCAGTGGTAGAGTGCTGACCTAGGAACCAGGAGGTCATGATTCAATTCCTGGTCGGGACACATGCCTGGGTTTTGGGCTCAATCCCAAGTGTGGGGTGCAGGAGGCAGCCGATCAATGATTCTCTCTCATCATTGATGTTTTTATCTCTCTCCCCCTCTCCCTTCCTCTCTGAAATAAATAAAAATATTTTTTAAAAAAAAGAAGAAAAAAAAAGAAACCCTATCTACAGTGGTCCAATTATTACTCTAAAATGAGCTCTGGGAAAAAGTATTTTATGAAACATAAAACCTAAGGAAGATTCTTGGTTTTGATCTTTCACTAACTTTGCACCAATAAGCTTATTTACATACGTCCTGCCAAGTAAAGAATTTTTAAAACATCACTGACATGGTTTATTTATTCTCATCATGTAACAATGATTCAATACCTAATCTATAAATATAAGACGTTGCTGTACCACATAACACAGGTATAAATATGGTACTTTTTACATTACATTGCTGCTGCTTATTACATGTCAAAGTTCAGGTCAATGTGGCAGGACATCAAATTTTTTCTAGTCTTAATGACCATAATTGTTGGGTGAGGGAAAATGTCAAATGTAACCAAATAAAGGCTCTAAACTAACTCCATCAATACCTTCAGTGTTATGTAGTGCCATTAGTGTGTATGTTTTCACATCTGAATGTCTTCCTCTTATGTGATGAAGGCATGATCTATAAGTGGAAGAGCTTCTGAACTGAGTCAAAGTCACATCTGAAAATACTGAAGCGGTGTCGCTGGCAAAACTGTGAGCATAACATGAAAGCATGCTTAGACCTACTCATAATGGAACATCATCTCAGAAAACAATTCCATAAAAGTCCTGATTTCAAAAATTTACTAGCTTCTGCATCAGTGTCCCAATATTAAACTCCAAATTTTTACTTTGCACACACTGTCATATCCATACAGTGATTTACAACTTCAAGCACTACGTATGTGGTCCTCAAAATGTTTGGCTTTATAGGACCTGAACCAAAAACATTTCACAGTAGCTTTCAATGCTAACCCATATTGTGGGGGGCTATGCATAATTATCTTCACACCAATAAAACTATTCACTATAATGAATAAAGTAATTACAGGAACCAAGAATGAGCTTCTAACTTATTTCAACAGATACAATACGTATCACACACATTTGTCCATATTTTAACTACTAACTTCATAAATACTTGATGTTTACACCAATAATGCTACTGGAATTAAATAATATTACATAGAAAAGTGTATGAAAACCAGATATAACAAGCTCTATAGGGCTAAATTTTAGTTATAAAATGGGTCATAGGCTAAGAAATCACTACTTATCCACAATAATTATAAATCAACAGATTACTGACAGTCAGTCATTACACGTCCAAATCTAGGAATGAATTAATTCCATGGTAAGTTAAAAAAACAGATGGTGTAAGTAATATTATACTTGGCAAGCCAATAGCACAAAATTGGGTAAGATTGTTTAGTATAAAGAGAAATAATCTAGAACTTTAATACCCTGTAAGGTTCCACATTAAACCAGCTTAACAAAAACAAAAATTTTTAGTAACTTACCCATAAAGTTACCCAGATACACACATCCATAAACATATGGTTCTCTAATGAAATATCAGTTAAAAAGCAGCATTTTCATATACAGATAGACAACTAGAGCTACGCAATATTAACACACACAGATTTCTACTGCTAATCATACCAGCCATCTTATAAAATAACACTTTTAAATAGTCTTTCCTGATGAACATTTGAAAACCAATACTATAATTCACCTACTGACATAATTTCCCTTAAAAAAACCATCTGAAATTTTAAGAGGTCACAAGTCATGTTATATTTCAGTACCAGATTGCTGTAGCTCCTAGAACAACATAAACCACACAACTTTTGAACAATTTAGGGGAAAAAAGCATTGAAATTTAAGTTTCCTCAATCAGTTCTTGTGCCTCAGTCATTATTTACTCTGTGCCATCCATTTGGCCCTTGAGTTTTTCCACAACATTCTCTACAAGTATTATGTTTGCTTTGCAAATGATGAGCCAACAATATGCTAAGTCATCAGTAATAAAAGAAAATACAGAAGATAAATTAAATGTGTTCTTCCAAATGTCAGAATACTGTAGGTTCCCATGACTTGGCAAAGCGTCCCAAACCATCATCCAGTTTCAGGGTTTGCAGGATAAGGCCTCCTTACGTAAAGAACGATTGAGAATATTTGCTCCCCACACCCAGAGCCATTCAGGCATGTACTGTGCAAAAAGAAACTAAAAATGGAAGAGAAAAAGGTTAAAAGATTAGAACCCAAAGCCACTGACACTGAAATGTACAGATCAGCATCTTATTTAATCCAACAAATATCACTGATCACTTTAAATACTAAAAAGGAAAAAGACTTTAGGTGCTACTGTACTTAGCACCTCCTTAGCATAAGACCATATGTTAGACCTATAGGAATAGAAACATGATCACCACCCATCCATCCCCTTTCTCTAATGAGGGGGGACACACCTACATGCAATAATAGGATTCCATCATTACTTGATAAGAATAGTGTGTTAATTGGCTTAAGAATTATAAACTCTTTCCAGAAGGAAAGGCAGCTGTAATAGATAAACGTTAGTGCTATGTGAGCAAACAGGTTTGAGAGGCAGAATGGAGCCAAGTTAAATAAGAAAACTGAATAAAAAACACTAGGACCCTAGTACACTGTCTTGAGATGTGATGAGGATGGCTTGGGGATCCAGGGAGTCCAGATGATGTTGTTCTGCTACCAGGTTCTCAACCAGGCCCATTTTGCTCCCCCTTCCCCAGGGTTATAAGATTACTGGTCACAACTGGAGTGGTGGTGCTACGGCATCCAGTGGGCAGACGTCAAGGATGGGCTGAACATCCTATAACACATAGGACAGCTCCACAACAATTATCCAACCCCAAATGCCAATAGTGCTGAGGTGGAGACACCCTGCACTATAGTGGCACATTTGTCAGTATAGACGTTATACTGCGTGAAAGTTCTAACACTTTGCATGTTAAGAAAGGGAAATGGGCAGACCCCCAGCAAGTGCTGAAATTCTAGTCTAGGTTACTCTGCAGCTCCAGGGAACCACACCAAATAAGGAGGGGGTCCCAGTATGGTGAACTGCAGGAAGACAGTCGGGAACCACAGCTGCTCACAGCAGATTCCACAGAAGCTCCAAACCACCTCAGAGACAGGAGCCCAGTATTTGGCCTGGAGCCATGGGTAACTTTCTGGGGGAAGGACTAAGGTCTCTTTAAACAGCTAGGATTTCGTGGGGGGGCGGGGGGGAAATACTTGGATATTCCTCCTTGGAGCTGCTGTCCTAAAGCAAAAGATTCTGAATCCAAGGAGATGAAAGAAGTCAGCTTTTGGTCCCAGAGGAGGACCCAGTAAGTAGTGTCGCAAACACATAAACACCTGAGACAGACTAGATAACTGGATCCCCCTTCAAAGTACATTTTTTTCCAATCTTTATTCAATGGAGAAAGAATCAGCATCTAAAAACCTGCCTGTTTTCAATGTCCATCCATGACCACTGTCTATAGTAGGGGGACCAGCATCAAGGTGTTTTTGACAGTTTCCTTAGGTGCTGCACTTGGAGATGTCACTGGCTCATCTTGTCTAGCTCATCCCAATGAGGTTTTTAGCTTCCTGGGAAGCAGGTGGAAAGAGCTTGGTGGAGAGAGCTAATAGAAGAGAAGGGGAGAATTTCATCCCCTGGGTACTGACAGACAGACTAAAGGGGCTGACTCGTCGCCTATTTCGAGAACAACGGTCACAGGAAAGAATGCCAAGTCTCTGGCACTCCAAACTGCAGAGGGGGGCCACAGTGAAGAGGGGGGTGCGAGTGTGAGTGTGTCTACCAGAGAGAGGAGGGGTGGATCTCGGGTTCTGTACAGCTTTGGGCATGCTCAGGACTCCTGACCAGTGTCCAGGCCTAAGAGTGGAGCTGGTCCTCCTCTGCCACAGTTGTCAGCCTGGCTCCCGGACCCTCACCCACATCTCAATATGCAGCCCAAGGGGCTTCTCATTTCCACTGAGCTCCACCACTCCCCTCCATGCCATGTGTTCTCTTCCCAACAGCAACACACAGCGTATGTGTGAACAAATACCTCCAAAGTAGGTAGACATTCAGAAAGGACCATGAGCCAGTTGGAGAGCTGATTCTCCCACTCTACTCCCCTTCCCCCGGAGCTTTCCTGGCACCGGGAATACAGTCTCCATGTTCACAGGCAAGAAACTCACTGCTCAAGTGGTTAAATGAATTGTTTTTTCAGCCACACACATACCAGCATGTTTCTGGCCTTTATGTCAAGGATCACAAACAGAAAGCTATAAAGGAAAGGCCCTCCTTTTTCTGTCCGGCTTACTATGTGTTCCAAAGCTGACAATTGAATACTGCCTAATGCCATTTCTGGAAATAAGAAATGCTCCCAAATCAACATTAATAACTAGTTAACTATGAAAACAAATACATTTTGACTCCTTTCTGGCTTTTTTAAAAGTCCAAATCATTTTTTTTTAGTTTTTGCTTGCAAATCTTTATTAAGACAACTAGCATAATACACATAAGATGCAATTGCTGCATTATATGAGAGAAAGCAAAGATGTCATGGTTGTGAGTCAGTTCTAACTGCTCCTGTTCAGAAATGCTGTTTCACAGGCATGTAAGGAAATGAAGACATGTGTAAGGAAGGCTGAGGCAGGGGTCAGGGGTGAGAAAACCTGCTCCCTAACCTCTGTGCAAGCCTGTCAAACATAACCTCTGTTCACACAAACTCAGAAATGTTCTCTGTGAAATTACTTTTGATGCCCTCTTTGAAGTGGCTTCAAGGCGGGTAATAGATGCATATGAATGCGCTGAGTGCTGCTAGAGAAAAGCCGCATAGCTGAAGGCACCATCGAGTCTCAGGCCCACCATCATTCAGGCCTCCTCTCTGCTCAGCCATCCACTGATGGGTCCCCAGGCACCTCACTCCCCTTTCTTCACAATTATTATTTCAAACCTCACTCTCTCAGCCTCGCACTCCCTCCACCTCACCCTCACCTCACAGGAGCCATCAGACCGGGTTTCTCAACTTCTAAGTGGACTCCCACCCTCTCCTCTCTCCTTCTTCACTTTCTAGTTGTTTCCAAAGTTCACATCACTTCCCCTCTACTTGTGCTTTCAGCCTTATTCCCCCACTTCCAGGAATCAACTCCTTTCTCCGATCTCTAAGCTCTTTCTTCTCCACTTACCCCATTCCTCCAGCATTAAATTACAGTCAAGTCACTGCTGATTTGCATAGATTAAATAGCAAACAGAATTCCTTCCTTTGGACCCAATCCACTGTCTGTAGAGCCTTATATCCCCCCCCCAAAAAAAATATATGTTTATTGATTTTGGAGAGAGAAAAAGAGAGAGGGGTAGAGAGATAGAAATATCAATAATGAGAATCATTGATTCGCCCCCTACTGGGGATCAAGCCCACAACCTGGGCATGTGCTCTGACTGGGAACTGATCCAGTGACCTCTTGGTTCATAGGCTGACGATCAACCACTGAGCCACACCAGCCAGGCTACAGCCTTATAATCTTGAGCACACTGTCTCCATATCCCCATCTTCTCTATAGTCACCTACCCACTGTAATGCAGCTGCTCCCTAAAATGCCTCCAAAACTGCTTTCATCGAGGATTTCCAAGATTCTAAACCCAACAGACATATGTTGGTCCTTATGCTATGGGCCAGATGGCACCATGTGACACTGATGACTATGCCTTCCACCTGAAAACTATCTCTAACCCTCACATCCATATTCCACTCTCCTCCTCTCCTACTGACCTTGCTGGCTGCCCTTCTCAGTCCACCTTCCCTGGAATGTTGGAGTTCCTTGAGTCTCTGACCAGGCCATCTTTTCTCCTCTACACACTCTCCTTGGATAATATCACCAACCCCACAGCGTATCATCCAGCTAAACGCTGATGACCAGTAAGCCTATACCTCCGTACAAACCTCTCACCTGAGCTCCCACCTATGCAGCTGCCGACTCCACTTCTCTTAACTATTTCTCAGACCTTCCAAATCCAGCATGTGTAAAACTCATATTGTTTCTCCAAAGCCTGACCTCTTCCTCTCATGCTACCTGAGTAAGTGGCACCACTGAGGTTCTGGAACCAAAAACCTGAGAATGTGTTTCTTCCTTTCCTTCAACCCCTCATGTTCAATCTATCGCCTATCTTGTCAAGAAATACGGTCAGCCCATCATTCTTATTTAGTTAATAACATATAAGACTAACTGGAATAAACAGCACAAAACAAAACTTTTCACGGTATGTTTAGCATATCAAACTTCACACAGTAAATTTTTTATAAGCTAAAGACAGAAATTGAAACCTTGACAAAATTTAGATCTTTGCAATCTGAGAAAAATGGAGTCAGAGAAAATAATTATAAAAGCAAAGTCACGTTCTAGCCGGTTTGGCTCAGTGGACAGAGCATCAACCTGAGGACTGAAGGGTCCCGGTTTCGATTCTGGTCAAGGTCACATGCCCAGGTTGCTGACTCGATCCCCAGTAGGGGGTGTGCAGGAGGCACCCGATCAATGATTCTCTCACGTCACTGATGTCTCTCTCTCCTCTCCCTTCCTCTCTGAAATCAATAAAAATATATTTTAAGAGAAAAAATGAAAAGAAAAAGTCACGACAGCAAAAGCTACCAGAGAAAACTGCTATGGACAAAACAGCTACTAATGAATCAAATATTTGTTGTAAAACTGAAAAAAAAATTAATAATGTTGAAAATAATTTGAGTAAAATAAAAATGAAAATAGAAAAAATTGGAAAATTCTAACAGTTTTCTATAGAAAACTATTTTAGGAATTAAATTAGCTTAATAGGATTTCTTGACAGAAAAAAAAATCTACATTCTCCAGAAAAGCCCATCAATGTGAATAAAGTATAATTGCAATTAAAATGCTAGTGTTTTATAAATGCAGTCAAAATATCTACTGCATCTAAACATCATCTTTATTGTATCTTCATTTCTTAGGAAACTTCATGGTCAGTAGCTTGGAAAATTATTTTAGGTTTCTCTGCTTTTCTCCAGTAATTAAGGACCTGGAAATAACCACTTAAATAAAATTGCTTCTTATTTAAAAAAAAACTTATAGCCAAAACTTTTGAGAAAAGTAAAAATTCACTCTTGATTTACTTATCTATTTATTTGGTATTGGTAAATTTGATAATCTTTATTACAGAGTTCCCCAAATATCTGCTGGTAAGTTAAGAAAATTCTACATATTAAAGAAAAAAGAATTCTAAACGAGGGTACACTACTTATTATGCCAGATAAAGAGACAGGTGTCTATTATAATAAATCATTATGAGTACTCTAATACTTAGAATCAAATTTTCAAATATTTAACAAAGTTATTCTTTAAAACACTAAAGACCCAAGTCTTTGTCATGCCTGAAGAACAAACTAAAAAATAAAAAATTCTACGCTTCTTAAACAAATGAGTCCAAGAATATACTGAGATTACTGAGATGTGACAACTGTGTTACATGAAATAGACCTTTGTGACTTTATGTCTTTTGATCATATTGTTGACTTAGAGGTACCCACTCAAGCATTACTAGAATGTTTGCATTTTTAAATTCTCATCTAAATTCTTAGTATTTTATATGGCTACCATCTACTTATATTAAAGGAGCACCTTTCATCTCTTAGATGTCAAGTAGGTTAAACTTTTGAATGCTCTAAATAATCCCACAAAAGAAAATCTAGTGACTTAACCAGAACCATTAACAGTATCAGGTTTGGAGCCAGATCTTTGAGCATTAGGTCACCTGTCTTCAGGCATGGGCCACTTCCTAAAAATAAACCCTTACTTTTTTTGCTGAGGTAGAAAAAAAGTGTCAGGTTTAAGAATCAGAATTAGCAATTCTCATCTTTCAGCCGGAGGCTTCAGTCAGATTCCCATGTATCATTTAGGAAGGTTTAGGATTGCATTAACCTAATTACAAAAGTGAAAGCATACTGTTACCTGGATAGAATGGGACCAATATCCTGTGGTCCTTTTCGAAATGCCCAGGGTAGAAACGGCATGATGTGCATATACTTTTGGTGAAGGCACCAACCACGGGCACTTGTGCAGAAAACTGCCAGGGGCAGTCATGTGGGTAGCCACGCAGAATGGGATTAGACTCTGCACAAAGATTCCTTTAGAAGCATATTCATATTGTAATGCTCTGCTGAAGTGGTCTAAATAAGCCTGTTAAAAAGGAGCAGAGGGAAAGACTTTTAATTTTTTGAGACTTGGAAGAAAATTCAGGAGAAAATGAGGCTTGCTTATAATCATTTCAGGGAAAAAAAAAATATAGCATTAGCAAACATGAGTTGCTGACAAAGAGCTCAACAGATTGGGCCAAACCATTGTAATAAATGTCCTATTGCATTGAGATCTCATTTCCAATCAGGAATACATTACCTTTGAAGCAGAAAAGGCAGCCAGCTGGGGAGTTGGTTTGCAGCAGGAGCCAGAAGAGATAGTGACAACAGCGCCTTTCTTTCTCTCCACCATCCCCGGTAACACTATGTGGACCATCAAACTAGCCGCAGCAATGTTTACATTTATGATGTCCCAGAGTTTGTCCTCGGAGACCTGAGTAAAATACTGAGGGTAGGGATAAAACACGCCCACATTATTTACCAAGATGCCAATGTCTTTGTCTTTCAAGGCTTCTCGAATCGGTTCGTAGATCTCACGGCCGTTGCTGAAATCTGCCACTATAATATCGGTCTCCACTTTGTAGGTGTCAGCGATGTCTTTAGCAACCATCTGCAACTTCTCTTGGTTCCGACTAATCAGGATAATATTGAGACCACGGCTTGCTAACTCTTCTGCGTAGGCTCTTCCAATCCCATCTGTTGCACCTATAATACAACCAGGAACAGTGAGCACACTCATTTCATGGTGAGATCTTTAAAATATCCCATTTAGCATTTCTGCTTAATCAGAGAAAGAATCACACTAGAAGTAAAGCAAGTTCTAATACTGATTAGTCAAGAACAATGTCATAATATGAAAATACATATTATGTATCAAACACTCTCCCAGACACCCTGACAGGTAGATGAAAAGTTATTTTACATTCACCAAGTTGATGAGACACAGTAGGAAACTGTTTTCAAACATATATCTGGCTTGAATAAGTGCCAGGAAATGACAAATTACAATGATAGTTAAAACAAGAGAAATGATAAATTACAATATTTAAAACTAGGAAAGCTTTTCTGAACGTGGTGACAGTTTGTAAGGACAATTTCAAAACAAAGAGCAAAAAGGAAAGCAAGGAGTAGGACGGTGGGGCTGGAGCAATACTGGGAATAAGAGAGAGCAGAATAAAGACAAAAATCAAAGGAAGATTCTTCCAAGGTGATGGCAGTAAGAAAATGTGAACGTAATAAAAAATAATAAGTTTTTTTTTAATCAGCAAGTTCCCATAAAATTTAGTAACTCCTTGAATAATATACCCAACTAAAAACACAAACAGGAGATTTCAGATTAGACAAGGATTGAAATCCCATTTCTTACCGCTCACGACTGCCCATCTTCCGTATTGCTTGATCAGATCTGCTCTGCTCACCAGGCGAGGGACAAAGTGCAGCCTGATCAGGCTGTAAAAGTCACAGATGACGGTGATGCTTTTTCTGGCTGTATACCAGGCTCCCACCAAGGCTAGCGCTTCCACGTAGCAATTACACGACCTGGCGATTTCCCTATACAAGAGGTAGAAGCTGTCAACGGCAGCCATGGCAGCCTGCAGGGAAGGGAAACAGAGGAGTTCTGTGCTTAGTAAGTTAAAGGAACATGCACAGTCTGAGTGAAGAAAAAGGGCTGAGGACATCAGAACTGAGTAATTTTGCACTCCAATAACAGTCATAGTTCAAATCCATGTTGCCCATGGATCCAGGCAAGTTATGATCTCATTAACATTTATAGTTTATAAACTTCTTCTCTTCCAAGGAGATTAGTCAACACAGCTACTAAGAGTTACCAAATTCCTACTAAAATGCAGGCACTGTGCTACATGTTGTGGATACAGAGATAAACACAATATGCTCTGTGCCCTAAAAGAGCTTCAAGCTCAGTATGATGACATGCCCAGACTTTAATTCATATAACAGATGAGAAGGACATTTATTTCTTTGCTTTATTCATAATCAGCAGGTGCAGAGAGCCTACTGCCCACATAGACACGAAGAAGAAGAAATAGAAGTAAAATTAAGACATGGCCTTGGCTGCAAAAAGTTTACAATCCAGGTGAGGCAAACTAAGCTTTTACATAAATAATATCCAAAAATGTATATTTGAAAAGAAATACTCCCCAAACTTAAAGAAGTGGTTTTCTCAAATGAGAATGGGGTAAGCACTCCTCCATCTTACCAGGTTAATTTGTATACCATTATCTTTGACCCTTTATGTTTGAGGAAAGAGAAGTCCAATATAACTCTTATAAGTATCCACATAGCAAACATTTATAGCACACCTACTATATTCCATGTACTGTGACAGATGCTAAGGACTCAAAGATGAGTTAAATAATTGTAGCAAGGAGAAGAGACAGACATTTAACAAAACAGTTTTAAATGCCGTATGAACTGGTGTACATATGCCTGCAATTAGAGACAACCTGCAGAGGTAGACAAAAGCAGGCATGACCAAGGTTGATGAACTTCATCCTATACTCGACCTGGGGAGCCACTGATCCAACTGCACTGTCAATGAGGGACAAAATATCAAACAGACTAGAATAGACTACAATGAAATTACAGGGAACTCAGATATACACAAATATAAGAATACAGCATATACGAATACAAGATATATTAATATATCTATAATAATAAAAAGCATAATATGCAAATCGACCAAACAGCCGTCTGGACAACCTTCCGGACAACCTTCCGGGCGAAGCCAGGGCTGCAGCCAAGGGATCCAGGCAGCTGCCCCAGCTGCAAGGGAAGGATCGAGGTAGCCACTGCGGCTGCAAAAGACTACTCTTGCACAAATTTCCTCTATCGGGCCTCTAGTATTATATAAAAGAAAACTGATTTTAAGCCAGTTTAATCTGAGTTTAATCTCTTTTATAGAAATCCCATTGAAATAGAAAATGCAAATCCTGAAACTAAGAAAATACCCAAAAATAGCAGCATAACTTGCCATAAGTATAAGAAAGAATGAGTGAATTCCCTCCCTTTTTATTACAATGTGAGCTCAACCCAAGTTCTCAACTAAGCAGGAGAAAATAACCACAAATAGAATGTGTTTATATAAGAACTAGAGGCCCAGTGCACGAAATTCATGCACTTGGTGGGGGGGGGGGGGGGTCCCTCAGCCGGATTGCAAGAGGGCGCAGGCCAGGACAAGGGACCCCACCGGTGCATGATAGGGGCCGGGGAGGGATGCGGGAGGTTGGTCAGCCAGGGCTCTAGGGCATGTCTGGCCCATCTCGCTCAGTCCCCGACTGGCCGGACCCCAGCAGCAAGCTAACCTACCGGTCGGAGCATCTGCCCCCTGGTGGTCAGTGCACGTCACAGCAAGCGGTTGAGCAGCCTTAGCATATCATTAGCATATTACGCTTTGATTGGCTGAATGGCTGACCAGACGACCAGACACTTAGCATATCAGGCTTTTATTATATAGGATGACACTGTATTGTGATTAAAAGGCACATAAAATAGTTTAAAATTATTGAATATACCTTAGAACACATGTTGAATATTAACATTTCTAGTCCAAATTACAAACCAATAGAATATACAAAGGAAATATGACAGAAAACTGAAGAAATAGATAAGCAGGGGGGTTCTTAAATGCCCCACAATAAGGATATAATCTCTTATCAAATAAAGAGATTTATTTGTCAAAACTAATCAAATACTAGGCCATGAATTGCAAAAATTAAATGCAAAAAAATAATCACTTGTACGCACTAGTACTTTTCAAACAAAATGTAATAAAATTAGAAATAATAAAACTATGACAAAAAGCTATATGCTTGGAATATTAAATCTTTTCTTCTAAATAACAGGTGGGCATATATCTAAGATGTTAAAACAATGTTTCCAGTGAAAAATTAAATACCACATATCAAGATCTAATGGGTTACAACCAAAGCAATACGTGTGGGAAAGGTAATTGTACAAAGGGTATATAACAAGGTTCTAACTAAAAAGGAGAAGGTCTGATACACGTCATGCAATGACCTCATACTAATGGGAAACTGAATTTCTTCCCCCAAAATACAATTTATTTTTTCAAGAATTTGAAAGATGCCTGACTACAAAGAAGTTTCCCAATTTTTATGCTCTACTCATTAACAACTCCGATTTTCCTCTTACCTCCTCCTCCAGTTCTGGGCCTTCTTAAGGCTCAGTCTCTTCTTAAGACCAATCTGCGAACAAAAACTAACACAAAACAATTCCTTTCTTTTGCCCTCATAGCTCAGCTGGGAAAACTATATAAAACTAATATCAACGATTTTTAAAATTAAGAAAATGCAAAAATTCTTATGCCATGAATCCGTGTGTGTGTATACAGAAAAATATTTCCTCATCTAAGAATAAGGAAAGCCAAAAGCGTCTGTCTGGTGAAAGGCTCAGCTGAAATGGCAACCAGCTCCCGCACCGTGTTTCTTAAGGAACATTCATCAAATGGGACAAACCTGCTCAGTAGCTTGCAGCGGTTCTCAACCTGTGGGTTGTGACCCCCAAAAGGGTCACCTAAGACCATCGAAAAACACATATATAATTACATATTGTTTTTGTGATTAATCACTATGCTTTAATTATGTTCAATTTGTAACAATGAAATTGGGGGTCACTACAACATGAGGAACTGTATTAAAGGGTCGCGGCATTAGGAAGGTTGAGAACCACTGGCTTAGAGAGAGAGGGCGCTCTGCACAGACACCAGGAGCTCAGGGCACAATATGCAGGAAGAGGCCGGCCGCCCAGGAAAGGAGGCAGACACGGCCATCCTCTCTCCCTCTCCCCCTGGTGTCCACCTGGGCTTTCCCCTGGGCCTCATCTTTCTCTCTGCAAACCACCTTCCTGTGATCCACCTGCAGAGCACTTGAACTTCCACATGACTGCAGCCACCTCATCTCTATTTCAAATTCCTGGCAGAGAGTCTGGCTGGCCCACCTCAGCTCAGGTATCCAGCACTTGGCTAATCAGCTGGCAGAGGTGGCAGGGAGGACGTGTCCTGCAGTATGTGGAAGAGCCCCTTCTAGCCTGTGAGTGGGGCAGGTGCTGTAAGAACGAGGAAATGAAAAGAAACTCTGGTACACCTTTCCCCTCTCCTTCCACCCTAGACACTGCGTTATAACCATTCTGTTTTTGAACTACACCCAGGAGGCCGAGTTCCTCTAAGGCGGAGGCCAAATCTTACTCCTCTGTTTCTCCAGCACCTTCCACAGCCTCTGGCACAGAGCAGGAGCTCAACACATGTTTACTGCATTAGACTTTACTACCCAGTCTCAGCTCAGCTGTTTTTCCATCTAGCTCTCCGTCTCCACACACCATCTTGTTCCCCAACTGCGGAGGGCACCACCAAACAAACTCCTTTGATCCTTTACAGAAAGAAAAACGTCATGTGCAAAATCCACCAGGGACCTCCTGCTGAGGTCCAGCAGGAGAGACGCACCCGCATCAGGGGTGAGTTGAGAACAGCAGTGTCAAGGGGCTTGAACCCCAGCTGGCCCTGCTTCTCAACTCTACCTATTCGCATTATAGCTCCACCATAGACAAATACCTTCAACATCTATTATCATTGTTGTATTTTTTTAAAATCACAGAGAATCAGAGGGCTGACAGCATTCTAGGTCTGGTCTTCAGTCCTGAGGTACAGAAAGGCAACTTGATCATTCCCCAGAGAATAGCTCAAGTTGGAAAGATCTGACTCACACCAACCAAATTCACAGAAGACCAATAAATTCAAACACCAATGTATTTATGAATAACAGACAATAGACGCCTAGACACACAGTCATTGATCTATAGGAAAGTCTATGTGGAATCAAACTACCGGAACAACAATGAAGAAAACTACATGTGGGATGCTGAGGACCCGCCCAAGTAAGCCAGGAGTCCCTGCCACCCTGTGTACACAGAATTCATCGAAAGATGAACAAAGTGATTCAATGACACGTGGCGAGGGTGCTGCTGAAGAAGGTGTAAGACTCTCCTGGGCGGAGAGGAGGCAAGGCCCGGCACTGTGAAAGGTCCAGCCTGCCAGGAAACGGTGACAAGTTCAATGTGCTTACAGCACAGGATGTGCACCTGGGACTAGCAAGGGGGGTGGGAGGGGGACCAGATGGTGAAATGCCTATGCCAAATGGAAGTGTTTGGCCTTGCTCTTTTGAGTAAGTCCCTTAGGCCAAAGGAAGGAGCTGCTTGGGTTTGCTGTGGAATTTACTGGCAGCAGTGGAGGTGGCTGTAGTCCTGTGGGCAGGAAGTGAGGAGTCCTGAACCCTGTCCATCCAAATGGGGATGAAGCAAGGCTGGATTGAGAGCACATGCCTTTGTGACTGATTCCTTGCTGCTCCTCAGACACACCATTTTCATACATTTGTTCACACCTTGATAGACCATAAATGGAAAATAACAGGAAATTATAAATTCCTTATATTCATTCCCTCACTCTTCTTCCCCACCCTAAAGTACATGATGGAAAATAATGTCTTTTTAATAAAAGGAAAAATCAGGACTTCCCCCAAAGCCACTGAATTCCAGGAAAGCTCATGGAAACAGTTT